TACTCATTATTTATATATCAATTAATCTTTTCTGAATTTGTTAACAATTGACACTTTAGTGAGTTAATCTTTTGTAATCTTATACTCACTAGTTATAACTTTTCTTAATAATCTTAATTATTATTGATTAATTATGTGGTTTTTGCTTTGACAAATATGCTGATTTCACAAAAAAACAAAAAAAAACAAAAAAATAAATCTCAAAACAAAGGAGAAGAAGAAGTTGGAGTACTTAAGATTAGCTACATTTTATATGTTAATGTAATTATTTTTGTACTGATTACAATAATTTATATACGAATTTAGAGTACATTATTTTTAAGTTTTCTGTATTTGATACTTGTAATTTTCCAACAATTTTATATATTGTAATTTAAATTTTAAAAATCAAATTAAATTCGTTTATTTTTTATTTATTTTTGTTTAAAATGAGACCAAAGAGACCTGTTATACCTAAAAAGCGGTCTCAATTTGCTCTAATAAAGATTGCCTAATTAAGATAGGCGGTCTTAGTATTCTGAAAAGAGAGACCGCTTTTCTCATAAAGGCAATCTCAACTTTCTCAAAATTGAGACCGCTTATCTTGGTCATATGTATATGTATATGTATATGTATATGTATATGTGTATATACATATATACATATACATATACATATACATATGAGCAAGTTTGGTAGAGTTGGTGGGGAACTCACCTTGTGACTCTGAGGTCACAAGTTCGAGCCCTACCAACTACTAAATGCTTGGGAGTGACAACATTTTTGAATTATCTTCTTAGATGACAACATTTTTCATTTGTTGTTTTTGTTAAAGTGTTGCCTTATGTATCATTTTACCTAAGCTATCAAAATTGTTGCCTTTGAATAAGAATGTGTTGCCTTATGAATAGACAACGGGGGCATAAATTACGCCTCATATGTGTTGTCTTAGCTACAAGGCAACACTTTTTTTATATTAGACAATGGTTTTGCATTGTTACCTTTGTTTTATTTTGTTGTAGTGAAAATTTGGATGAGATTTAATGTTGGATTCATTTTATGCCCCATATGCAAGGATTAGGGGGAGATTATATTCATTCCATTATTTTATGTAATCCTTGCACATAGATAATAAAATATATTTATGGTCAGTTAGATATATACATTAACTTAAAAATCAACGATTTATTTAATAGAAGTGGCCACATGTTAATTAAATATTTTGAAATGATATCATCCTAAAGATGGATATAGTAAATGTCATTGATCATATACTAATTGTAAATGCTCCAATTAAAATTGATGTCCCAGGCCAAAAGGACAATACCAATTGCTGATGAACCTATAGCGTGTCTGAAGTATGATAGATCAATATATAGAATCTAAGGATAATTAAGTATCTTCGAAATGAAATATCCAACAAGACTAGCATATATCAAGTTTATAGTTAAAACTCCAGAAGAGTATGAGTAATTATTAAATAAATTATTGATTAATTGTCTTGTCAATTGTATAAAGAAACACATGTTGGTGTTATAATATCACATCATATTCATGGTATAAAAGTAAGTTTTATAAAGTGATCACTAGTGTTGGAAAATTGACCAGAGTTCAAATTTAGAGAAGTGATTGGATGTGATAATTAAATTAGGCCATTGGGGTTTAATAATTACCCGTTATGGAAACCTGAAGTTTCATTTGATGATGTGCTGACGCTCTCTCTATGTTAGATATAAGAAATGAATTGAATGGCAAGACATAACATTGATATTGAGCTATATTTGGATTGTGATTCATAATAATTTGTGTTGATGAAAATTTCAAGAGTTAATAGGTTTTGATTTTTTTTTTATATAAAATAGTGTTAGGTGATCAGAAATTCACCAAAATAACTTATATATTATTATCAACTATTAGGTGACCAGAAACTCACCAAAAAACACTATCTAAATTTTTAAAGATCCAGAAGATCACCACTCAGTAGAATTACAAACAACTGATTTATGCTTGTAAAACAATTCTTTTGATTATGGCTATTATATGTGAGCACATAAGAAATTTGAAGAGAAGGAAAAACGTACAACTGCACAACACATGTCTCCCCATTGACATTGTTTTTCCAGAAGATATTATGAAAAGGTAATAATAAATACACATGCAATGTAAAGTTAATGAAGAAATGATTCTTCATTGAAATTGTTATCCACAAGAGATAGAACTAGTTTAACACAAATCTTCTGAGAAATAAATTTTGATTGTGATCCTCCTAATAAAGTGAATTTTATTAATGTAAATTTGTCTACTAAGTTGGTATAAAATAAGATGCCCCTATAAATGAGATATTTTACCAAATTAGAGGGAGAAGAACGAATTAGAAAAGGTTGGAAAAATTAAATAAATAAATAATAATTATGATCCCTATAATGGTAGTTTGAAAAGTTATATGCCAACTTTTGTCTATATATTATCAATATATGTTGCAAATTTATAATTTGATTTGTATTTAGTTATGACTCATGTTTCATAGCGTTGAAGATAAATTTTGGTCATATTAATTATGTGTATACATTGAGATAATATCTTGCCAATAATACTTGAATCACTACACCTGAAGTGTAGGTTGTATGATCGGTTCCAAATAAAGATATGCCTAATAGATATAATATATGGAAAGATAGTGTAACCAACACTTTTAATAGTGTAATAACATATAAATACCATAGTGTATGAAATACCCCAAAAGTGGTATAGATATCTGAATTATTATAATAGATGACCTATGATATAAGAAAAGTTGTGATGGTACCAATGAGAAATGTATTCAGATATCATAGTAAAATATCATGCGGAACGTACGTTAAAGGAATTTTATGATACTGGTGCACAATGAAATTGATTAATAATATGCATATGCATAATGGAATAGATGAGTGAATAAGGGATATGAAATATATGTACATTTTGATGTCGACATAATGATAATGATCATAAGTTTATTATGGACCTGAAGTCCAATGAAATATGGATTTTTAAATCCACACTGTACAGTGTTGCATTATTTTGAGTCTTATATCCCCGTGCATGTGTGAGTCATAGGTTAATGGATACCTATTGCATGTGTAGGAAGTTTTTAGATGCATTACTCATCGTATGTTTTGTTAAATATCTTATCATCATTTTTTTTATCTCATATAGCATGCGTAATTAATTTCTATATATATAATAATAATAATAATAATTGTGGTACGTGTGAATGTTTATCTAAGGCAATCTAAGGTATAGTAAAGCATATTGTCAACATCGTTGGGAACTTGCAAAGAAAGTTTATATTCCAACGGGCTTAGAGTTGTGATGAAAAATATTAATGGCGTCGATTTAATAGCATATTATGAATCATGTATGAATAGTTTCTGAATATTTTATATACGACATATTACAATTTATATCTTGAATATTGCAATTATTATTTCCTAAAAAGTCAATGTGACAAAATCATTGATATCTCAACTTGAAGTTTGAGTTTGTAGATTCTATCGGCCTCTACATTGGCGAACTCTCATCTACAACATGAAAGTCGAATTAAATAATAACATTGTGATATCATTGAGAGAGAATAATATTCTTATGGTCTAGAAGAGCCATGAGCAAAATATGTAATTAGTTTAATTTCTTAATTCATATGATACTGGAAAATGAAATATATATATGATGATATCAAGTGTTGTCATGAAATTATGTTTGGATAGTGTGATCAATTATTGATCACCATTTTGTAGTGTATAATGACCTCCGGAAGAAGGCATGCATCTAATTACTATGACAATTCGAAAAAAAAATATCGAATGAAATAGTGGTAAACACTTGTATTATTTCCACACTTATGAAGAAATGAAGTCATCTAAGTAAGTTTATGTGAAAATTTGAAGATTCAAGTTCAATTTGAAAGCATCAATTATCAAAAAATGGTATTCTACTACATACGAATCATATCACGTCAGATTTATTGCACTAGAAGATTTCAAGTTATGTATTCATCAAAGGGAGAAAAATATGCGTTGTACTCTTTTATCCTTGACCATGGTTTTTTCCCATATTGGGTTTTTCCTGGTAAGGTTTTTAATAAAGCAGCATTGCAAACGTATTACGAAGAATTATGTAATCTTTTTCCTTCACTATGTTTTTATCCCATAGGGTTTTTCGTAGTAAGGTTTTAATGAGGCACAGTTTAACAATTTTCGATAATGGACATCCAAGGGGGAGTGTTATAAAATATTTGTGGATGCCCATTATATTCTTGTACACTCTGGAATATTCTATATTTAGGGTTTAGTATTTTCTAAGAAAACCCTAGTTATTGTATATGTATATATATGTTCCCTACTCAATAGAATAATGTGACTAATCTATTATCTCCGATCCTCTGCTTTCTCCACTTTCTCTTTAATTTTATAACATTTTTAGCTTTATTTTTTTGGCGGGATTTTAAGCTTTATAAATTCCCTTTGTAAAAAAAATAAAATAAATAAGAATAATAAATAAATAAACTACAAAGTATGATTAAACAAAATATTTCTACTGTACATAATTTCTAATAAGGATATCCGATATCCTCTTTTTTACGGAGTAAGAAACAAATTTTGTGTGTGCGCCCATAAATTCAATTGCAAGACGGCTATTTTTTAGCGCTTTTCATCAAAGTTGTTAAAAAAACTAAAATTACTAGTAAAACATTCAAATAAGCTTTTATTTCATACCAGACAAAGGCTAAACTGATAAACCCTTCATGAGCTTAACATAATACTCAAACACAATGATACATATATTAATAATTCTCCCAAAGAAAAAGATCTTGTACATACAAACATTGCTGAATAAAATGCATGAAAATATAAATACCCCATCATATAAGCTCATTAAAAAGCAAGAGGGGAACAATCTTAACAAGACGGGTGTAATTAAGCAGGACTCCTAACCATGGTAGTAGAATATAGGTTTGGATCTCGGTTCAAATTCATCTACAATCATCCTCTTATATAGTAGCTTGTCATTTTGATTATAGAGTATGGTTGGAGCATGGGCCATTCATCTGCATTGAACTTCTTAGACACAGACTTATCATTTTGGTAGTAGAATAAAATGTTGGAGCTCGGGTCAAATTCATCAGCAATCGATTTCTTAGATTCTGGCTTATCATTTTGGTGGTAGATCAAAGGGTTAGATCTTGGTTCAAATTCATCTACAACTAATTTCTTAGATACTGGCTTATCATTTTGGTCGTAGATTAAAGGGTTGGAGCTAGGTACAAATTCATCTGCAATCAACTTTTTAGACACAGGCTTATCATTTTGGTAGTAGAATAAAACGTTAGAGCTCGGGTCAAATTCATCTGCAATCAACTTCTTAGATTCTGTCTTATCATTTTGGTGGTAGATTAAAGGGTTGGAGCTAGGTACAAATTCATCTGCAATCAACTTTTTAGACACAGGCTTATCATTTTGGTAGTAGAATAAAAAGTTAGAGCTCCGGTCAAATTCATCTGCAATCAACTTCTTAGATTCTGGCTTATCATTTTGGTGGTAGATTAAAGGGTTAGAGCTTGGTTCAAGTTCATCTGCAACCAATTTTTTGGAGCTAGGTTGTTCAAATTCATCTGCAATCAACTTTTTAGACACAGGCTTATCATTTTGGTAGTAGAATAAAAAGTTGGAGCTCGGGTCAAATTCATCTGCAATCAACTTCTTAGATTCTGGCTAATCATTTTGGTGGTAGATTAAAGGGTTGGAGCTAGGTACAAATTCATTTGCAATCAACTTTTTAGACACAAGCTTATCATTTTGGTAGTAGAATAAAAAGTTGGAGCTCGGGTCAAATTCATCTGCAATCAACTTCTTAGATTCTGGCTTATCATTTTGGTGGTAGATTAAAGGGTTAGAGCTTGGTTCAAGTTCATCTGCAACCAATTTTTTGGAGCTAGGTTCAAATTCATCTGCAATAAACTTTTTAGACACAGGCTTATCATTTTGGTAGTAGAATAAAAAGTTGGAGCTCGGGTCAAATTCATCTGCAATCAACTTCTTAGATTCTAGCTTATCATTTTGGTGGTAGATTAAAGGGTTAGAGCTTGGTTCAAGTTCATCTGCAACCAATTTTTTGGAGCTAGGTTCAAATTCATCTGCAATCAACTTTTTAGACACATGCTTATCATTTTGGTAGTAGAATAAAAAGTTGAAGCTCGGGTCAAATTCATCTGCAATCAACTTCTTAGATTCTAGCTTATCATTTTGGTGGTAGATTAAAGGGTTAGAGCTTGGTTCAAGTTCATCTGCAACCAAATTTTTGGAGCTAGGTTCAAATTCATCTGCAATCAACTTTTTAGACACAGGCTTATCATTTTGGTAGTAGAATAAAAAGTTGGAGCTCGGGTCAAATTCATCTGCAATCAACTTCTTAGATTCTGGCTTATCATTTTGGTGGTAGATTAAAGGGTTAGAGCTTGGTTCAAGTTCATCTGCAACCAATTTTTTGGAGCTAGGTTCAGATTCATCTGCAATCAACTTTTTAGACACGGGCTTATCATTTTGGTAGTAGAATAAAATGTTGGAGCTCGGGTCAAATTCATCTGCAATTAACTTCTTAGATTCTGGCTTATCATTTTGGTGGTAGATTAAAGGGTTGGAGCTTGTTTCAAATTTTTCTACAGTCAACTTCTTAGATGCATGCTTATCATTATGTAAGTCACAATCTTCATTATTATTTTCATCTTTGATGAGACTTTTATCTGCTTCTCCTTCCTCGTGGACTTCATATGAATTTATAAAATCTTTGATAGATTCAGGAATGGGCTGCTTATCCATTACCTCTGTCCAATACTCTGATGGGCCTTTCCTCCCATCAATCGGGCCTGTTAACTGTTCATCGTATGGTATCATGAGACATGAGTTAGGAATAATCTCAAGATAAAAAAAATAAAAATAAATAAAAATAAATACTGTATGTATTGTAATATGGAATGTTAATGTTACTTTAATTACACTTGAATTATTTCTTGTTAAAATAAGTAAAAATCATTTGAATAAGATGTAATTAGTGATTTAGCGGTGTCAATAATTTCTCATGACTTAAATTTAAAATAAATCTGACATGATCTCGATCCCTTAATCCAATTTAGACATCTAATGCAAATTGACACCTCTATATACACCTTTAAAAATCTGTTAAAGAATTTAAGTGTTTAACATTATTTCAATTAATTAATCATTGGTAAGTGCGTATCCAATTTTTGAATTAAAATAAATCTTTCTTGAAAGGACTGCAATCACTGCATACATAACTAAAGCTTTATTTTAGGCATTAAATTTTCAAAGAAAATAAAATCTTAATCATTTAATGAAAGACTACATAAGTAAGAGTAATTCCATACTACTCCTTCCGTCTCTAAATTACATTCCTGTTTTCCTCTATTATGTGAGGAATAAATGCTAAAAACAGAAATATAATTTAAAGATGGGGGGAGTATAATTATTGAAAACAATTTGAAAGGAATGTATGTACGGCAAATAAAACATAAGAAAGTTACCAAAATTATTGAGAGTAGAACTATGAACGTGATGCTGATGTTGCACTTCATAATTGAATTGCTAAATCAATAAACTGATTTAAGGCAGCTAGTGAGTTTAACTTGATACGGAGTACGATTTAATTTGTGAAAGATAGCTAGTCCCGATTTTCTATTTATAGGAAGGGGACCAAGTAAACAAACAAACACTCAATCAATAATGCAATATATGCATCAATGCATGAAATAAATGTTTCTGTAGAATTAGGTAGATATATATCTTTGGAAACTATTACTCCTTCCCTCCCAAAATACTTGTAACTTTGGACGTTGGGGTGAACATATAATTTAAAAAAGTTATTAGTGGATCCACTTACAATATTTTTTTTATTATATAAAAGATTATCATTTGTATTTTTATAATGTAAGAAAACAAAATGTGGGGCGGTATGAGTAGTGAGGAGAGAGAAAAATGTAGGATAAAATTAGCTTTTGGGGTTTGTGGTTCCAAATAATGTATATTAAAAAAAAATTATTAGTGGTCCCATTACGCCAGGGCCGGAGCTATAATTGGATAATATTTTTGGGCCCTGTTCAACTTATCAAATTGGGGCCTAGATTCAATATATATAATAACCAATTATTTATCATAAAATAAATTCATTCTTATGATTATTAAAAATTATGATTATCTTGAAGATTTATTTTAAATATTTGTAAAATTGAAAGAGCTAGTAAAATACATATATAAAGAATTTGTGGAGAAAATCAACGGTATTTTTATTAATTTCATCTTAAAATTGGAGAAAAAAGGGGAAGATTAGAAGATTTTGGGTTGGGATTGTAAGTTTAAAATTGGAAATTATATTGTTTAAAAAATAAATAGGGGTGAATTAATTTCGGCTATTTCACCAAATGCCACTGAGTAATTTAAAAATTCACTAAATGCCATCAGACTTTTCAGAATTCACCAAATGCCACTGAGTTTTTAAAAAATTCACCGAGTGCCATTAATGACTAACGGTAGTTAACTCCGTTAGTCATTAAGGCTAATTATGCCACGTGGTGTATTCTAATTGGTTGCTTATTAAATTAGTAAATTAATTACTTAATAAAAAAACTTAAAAAAAAAAACACCCACCATAACCCAGCCCCAACCACCGTCGTTCACTGCCACCACCATATCTCCGCCTCCAGCCAGTCCCCACCGCGGCGCAATTCAGCCCTGAACAACCGCACCGGCGACGACGCAACCCAGCCTAGCTAACCCGCGCCAACGACGCAACCCAGCCTAACCAACCCACGTCGACGACACAACCCAGCCTAGCCACCCCACGCCGACAACGCAACCCAGCCGCGATTCACAAACTCTCTTTCTCCCTCGACAATCCCTCCCCTCCCCACCGCCGATGACCAAACTCCCCCCCCCACGCCGGAGAACCCAAATCAGTTCATCCCCTCCGAGATCCACCCTTTCAACCATCACGCCGGATCCCTTAATTAAAAACCCCAAAAATCGAAATCTAGGGTTTCGACACCTTAAACCCCCAATATCGATTTCCCTTAATTCGAAGCCCCTTCCCCGCTCCGGCGAACCCAAACCATCCCTTCCCCTCCCATCTCCACCCCCTGAACCACCTCACTTAAACCCCAAAATCGAAAACCTTAAAATTGAAATTTAGGGTTTCGATTTTGGAGATTTCAATTTTGGGGTTTTAGGGTGTCGAGAATGGTGGTTTAAGGGGGGGAAGTGGATGGAGATGGTAGGGGTGGGGGTGGGGGAAGGGTGGCCGCCGACACCAAAGAGGATGTTGGTCGTCGGTGGGCGTGGGGGCAAGGGGTTGGGCTGGCGTAGGGGCGGTGGTGCCGTGGTGCGGTGGGAAGAGTGGCTGTGGTTTAGTTTTTTTTTTTTTTTTTTTTCTGATTTTAATTTTTTTTTTAAACTTCTGATTTTAATTTTTTTTGATAAATAAAATAATAATAATAAAGTGAACCAATTAGAATACACCACGTAGCATAATTAGCCTTAATGACTAACGGAGTTAACTGCCGTTAGTCATTAATGGCACTCGGTGAATTTTTTAAAAACTCAGTGGCATTTGATGAATTCTGAAAAGTCCGATGGCATTTGGTGAATTTTTAAATTACTCAGTGGCATTTGGTGAAATAGCCGTTAATTTTAGGTAATTGTTAATTTTGAAGAGAAATAAATGTAGATTGAAATATTTTGAGGGAAAGAAGGGAAAGCTTAAAAGATTTTGGTTAGGGTTGAAAATTTTGAGGAGTGAATAAGGAAATGGCAGAGAGAAGATGAATTTTTTTAGGAGAGAATAAAGGGAAATAAGGAAGGGAAGATTTTTATGCGGTTATTCAATTGAACATGGACATTCTCTAGTATTGCTTCCCAAAAAAAGAGTAAAATTTGTTGGTTTAAGGAATTGAACCTTTAACCTTTGTTTTAAAAAGTAGCACTCAAACCATCACTTCAATGTTATTTTTCTATTTTTACATGAAACTAATATACATATATCCAAAATTTGGGGCCCCTAGAAATTGAAAGCCCTGTTCGGTCGATCACCCTGTTCAGTCGATCACCCTGTACACTCTGAGAACCACCCCTACATTACGCTTTAGTAACATGTCAAGTATTTTAGGATAGACGAAAATGAAAATTGTGTCAACTGTCATGTATTCTAGAACGAAGCGAATAAAAATTAATTAGTGTAAGTTTATTATTTAAGCTAAGAAATTAATTAGTGTAAGTTTATTATTTGATGAATAATTAATTAGTGTAAGTTTATTATTTAAGCGAATAAAAATTAATTGCCTACCTTTAATCATATTATATATGCAAATTTTATAACTAGTTTATTTCATAGCACCTTCTATGTTCTACAATTGAAAAATCCGGGCCGCAACGTGATTCATATGGTTGTCTAATTGTCGTCCTCTAATCAATACGTTTATACGTCTTCCATGCATTACTGTTAACCATAAATGACTGACATGACCCACTTACTATAGATAACATTGTAAATTATTCACCAAATCAAATTTTTTTATGTCTCTAAATCGTCACTTTCGATGAAGATCTATAAGATTTGATTATAAATATAGAAATTCAATAATTTATACTCTCTATTATCTTTATACTATTCAATATTATAGATAGCCCGATTTGACATATTTAGGTTAGAATTTGATCACTTGAGTATGAACTTTTTTACATACAGAGGTTTTTTTAGTGCGGCAGGTCAAATGGTGCGGCAAGAGTTATTTGTAAGTGTTACTGGTTTTGTCAGGGGTTACTTGTATTTTGGGTTACTTGTATGGGTTACTTGTAAGTGTTACTTGTATTCTGAGCAACCCTTACAAGTAACCCCAGACCAAACCCCCCTACCAAACTAGTAACACCCTATAAGTAACTCCTGACCAAAACTAGTAACATCTTACAAGTAACCCTAGAATACAAGTAACACTCTGTCAAAAACCATTAACACATTACAATTAACCTCAAAATACAAGTAACCCCTGCCGCAATGCCGCACCATGTGGCTAGCTGCATACAAAAACTTTTCGTTTACATACATACTTTGTGACTTGTATTAATGTAAATATATGGTAGTAGTTTTACTAGATACTCTCTCTACTTTTTTAAGTGTCCAACTTCTAAAAAATTAAATGGCCGTTTTTTTTAAATGTTTCATTACTAAATTTAGAACCCTCACCACGCACTCGACCAGCAAGCCGCCGAAATCAAACGAGAACTCTGAAAATAAAGGGTGAAATAAAGGGCACGGTCAACCCCAAAGGGTAAGGGTCGTGTTATGTTACTTTGCTAAAGCAGCCCTTGAGTTTCTAAAATTTCCATTGAAGCTTGTGAAATCTTCATTGTAAAAGCTCGTTGAATTTCAGTCTTTTTGAACAAAGTTAGCAATTGTTAACTTCTGTTATTGCTAGATATTACAAATTTACCCTTACTTACCTACTTGAAATGACAACAAGACCCGTTAAAGAAACATATTTCGTTTCTCACGTTGAAAAACTTGTATTTTCACAGCAAGTTCCTAGCTTTAATGACCGGGTTGCAAGATTGATAGTTGTGGCGTGGGGGGTGCATGTACGATTATTGTCTAACACTATTCCAAAAATCAGTGAATCTGTATTTCATCATGCATTAATAATTACATCCAACCTAACCTTATAAAAATGTAGCCTTATAATATACTGCTCTCATCAGTCATCACTCATTAACACCAACACATTTCAAGCTAAATTTTTAAGATGCATTATTCTCAATTCACTCGGTGGAGTTTGGCTTTGTATTTGCTTCTATTAATGGTTAATTATCTTCTTTATTATGTATTGTCTAATTTGCATATTATTATGTCTTCAACCTTGACTTATTAATAATAAAATTTTAATTTGAATTTCTT